CACGTCCTGCCTAAGGGGGAGAGACACTACAGAGGTTGAACAACTCATGCTTCGGTCGTTCTATGTCGGATGCACCCTTCACGGTACTTCGTATTCGACATTTGTGTCGTGGGCGACCCTGGAAGGTCCTCTCTGCGTGACCCTGCGTTCGACACCATTGTTTTTTTTCACACTTTTCCCCTCGCATCCGCTTAAACAAAAATAAGTCATTTTCGAAGGAAAAAAAAAAGTTATTCCACCGTATTTGATGCAACGACATAGAGAGAAAGAAGGTGGTGACCGTGTGTACCACAATGTTGTTACTTATTGGATTCGAGGTCGTTGTTATGCAACAACATTGTATGTGAGACAAGGAGATATATCATATGAGAAAGAGACGAAAAAAACAAATCTCTCACATGAGCAACAATGGGCATCGAGGAGGAAGAAAAAGATCATGTGAAAGGGAGAGCGAGTGAAGGAGAGGGATAGTGTGTTTATTTCATAGTACCTAACCTCCTTTTGTTTTTTCTCTCTCTCAATCACACGCACACACACACACATACAAACACATACACACATATACGCACACACTCTAATATGCAACCCACCCAAAAGAGTCAACGCAACAGCCACAATAAGACAAACAACTTATTTTATTTATCTATGCGTCTTCGGTCTTCGCGTTCGTTGGCTCGTTAGAGTCATCTAGAAAGGACTCACTATGTTCACTATCTCAAATTCCAACGAATTGCAAACTTTGGATAGCCCGAGACTTGGGAATCCACATGACATTTTCCATTGCATTTCAAAAGTTAACAAAGCAAAAAAAAAAAAAAAAAAAAAAAAGTGAAATCGTTCTATGTGGTATTTTACTATTCAATGCTCTCTCTCTCTCTCTCTCTCTCTCTCTCTCTCTCTTTTTGGGATAATCAAGCATATGCTATCACCTAGATATGTTGTGGTAATTGGTCATTCACCCTTAGACGGGTATCTACTAATTCATATTTGTATTGGGCATGACCAAGCGATGATGTGAAGACAAGGTTGAGGGGACCGTACCTGGTTATGGAAAAATGGTGATACATGCATTTTTTTAATAACTGTTAGTAGACATTGTGAGGCAAAGGAGGTTTAGTGAGGGGGGGAGGAATGACGAGCATCGTGTTGTCGTGCTGACAATATATGTGGTGGAAAAGGCAAGGGTATGACAAATATATATTGACGATGCGAATTATGTGGAATCCCGATATGATGAGGTTCATCTATTGTTTTAAGCTAAGGAGCAACGTTTCCATAATTGTTAATGAGCGTTGTGTGATTGAGGGAGGGGGAAGGGTTTGAGTGAAGGAAGGATGATGGGGTGGATGAGCACGCGATCGTGTTGGCAACATGTATGGCGAAGGGGGATGGGGTATAATCGAAATGTGGTGCAAAAGGGGGGAGGGATGTGATTTCACCCTCTATATGTGGCAAAGGGTGCAAATGAAAATTATAATGTAAAATCTGTATTTGAAGAGGGAGGTTGACTTGTTTCTTACTTATTTATTAAATTGTGGCTAAACTTTGTGTGAGATTTCAAACTTGTGTTGAGAATAGAGGTGGGATATTTTTTCTCTATCTATGGAGAGATATTTAAATATTTCATCTCTAGTTACTTTGTACCTTCTTTATTGTTTTCCGCTATTTTTGTTCGCAAGTTGGACCTCGAGCAAGTTTGATAGCAATATATGTAAACAAGTATGTCTCATCAACACAAAGTATGTATTGATGTGGCGGTAAAACGGCACACTCAACGTGGTCTGCAAACTTATAATGAGATTATTATTTCATATAATATATTGTTAAGCTCTTGCAATGCCTATCTATTTTATTCAAAACGTTTCTCACTGCTCTCTGCTCAATTTCAACATCTGTTTTAAATCTTTAATGTTCGGAGGAGAGGTAAAACAGTTTTTATAGTACATGTTGGGGAGGCATGAGTCTTGTGTTTTGATATTAGTGGAAAATTTGATTGCTCATCTTATTCAACAGGTTCCTCGCTACTCCCTGCTTAATTAAAATTTATACTTCGCATCTTCAGTGTTCAGAGGAGTGACAAAATACTCTATATAATACATGTTGGGGGGAGGGGGGGGGGGGTCTTATGTTTTAATATTAATGGGAAGGTTTAAAGTAATTCTTACAAATATCAAAACATAAAACTTTGGTCTCCCCCACACGTGTTATTCATGATGTAGCTATAGCAATATAGACCTCTTTGTAACTCCTCTGTTTAAAAGTTTTTTTTTTTATTCGTGATTGTGATTGTTCACTTCCCTAACGATGTTATATATGCGAATGCGACACATGTTGTAAAAGAAAGACCAAGGCAGATGACAATAACAGAGGATGATAATTGAAAAATATAAAGAACATAAATAATTATCAAACTTGTATGCGTGTTACAAGAAAAATGACTACAGTTGGGATCCATATAGTAAAATGTACCTTCGTCTTTGTTATCCATTTTATTTTTTATAAGGACTTGTTTTTCCCGATTGTACCTTCATTGATACGTTATTTTCCCCATTGAAAAAAAAATATTGCAACAAAATTGAATCGCACAAACACAATGAAACAAACTTTTGCTATGCATATTATTATACAAATAAGCATGCCCTCGTTTCTGCCACATCCACTGTAACAAAGTGAAACTTTGTCTATTTTGAATAACAAATCCGTCGTCTACAGTTTTGTTAGTCATTGTTTGTAACTGCAATAAATCATGTTATTTACTTTATTTAAACCAAATAATAAAATAACAACGTACATACATTTATTTTGTTTGTTTAAAGATTATGACTATAAAGTGACTAAACTATACGTCTTTTGGAAACTTCAATAATAATTGCAATGAAGAGGTGCTGTGAGGTGCATAAAAACATTACAACACACATACATCTATTTCGTCTGCTTAAAGACTATGGCTAAAAAAATGTTTGAATTGACAATCTTTCATAAATTTAAATCGTAATTGCAATTTGAATAAAGAGAAGGGTGAGACACGGTGAGGGTTGGTGTACCCCCCCTCTCTGCCATAATTGTTCATATATAATAGACACTATAGTTGAACTGAACAGGTCTTTTGAAAAATTTGACAATTAATGTAATGAAGAGGGGATAAGGTGCGGGAACTCTTTACCATCATTTTTTATACATAATAGTTACACATGTATATAAAGCACCGTGTATTCATATATAATTTATTTGTGCTTGTTCATACATAAGAGCTGCAAAAAACTCAACCTACACTCTTGGGTTAAAATATGTAAAAACACCATGCCATAAATTATTGTACATAATAAAAGACACAAGAATATGCATTTACACAAAGTTTGTGTTTGTCCAAGTACTTCAACCCATACATATTGTCAACCTTTCCAAATACATTTTTTGTTGAAAAATGAAAACTCATATACATCTGTATCCCCTGCGTAAAAAGTATAGTTAAAAAAAAATAGTTAAAAAAAAAATATTTAACCCCTCTTGTTTTTTTTTTTAACTTCAACCTTGGTTGAAACCATCATTTTTCGTACATAATAAAATATATAACTACATATAAGCTTCGACTGTAAAAATAATTATACATTCCGCCATCATCTTCCTTGCAAAATGAAAAACATAATAGCATATAGTTTTTTATTGAAAAATTTGAAAAAATGATAACACACCTTGCCATCGTTTTTCATACAAAATAGATGAACCATTCGTATGTTTTTGTCAAGGCTAAACCGCTCGTGTCTTATGAAAATTTCAGCACTGATTACGATGAGGGGAGGTCATGCACTGCCTCCATGCCATGACGTTCCGTACAATGAAGGTTGTCATAGCATATAAAATATAAAATGACAACATGCATTTATTTATCCTCAATAAAGATCGCCACTCATAAAATGGTAAAACTGCCCTTAGCTACTACGAACTTTAATAGTCGATGCGATACAATATGCCCCCTTCAATACACATAGTAATAACACTTACTCGTCCACTTTTTACTGAACATCTACACTTTGCTCGACTCTCCGTCTCATTTCAATACCATTTGTTTATTTATTTTATTTTATTTTTCTCTTTCTGATACTCTATATATATATTTTTTCCTTCTAAACATAACGAACTTGAGATATCACCACCGGGGGGACTGACATAGCTTTGTTTGTTCGGCACACAAGTAGCATTCACGAGGTTTTGGGTTCAATCCCTACGAACCACCTGGTGCACATTTGGTGCCAACCAGCTTAGATAGTTGGGTTGCTCCCCCTGGGCGGCAACAAGGGTGTGAGTGTATTGTCATATTCACTATACACTAAAAAAAGCATAACTGTGCTTGACTGTTTCATAGAACTTTCAGCGACTCACCAGGAGTGTGTGTGTGGGTTGTGTATGGTGAGTGGGAGAGTGTTGGCCTTTGACACTGCTGCTACTGCTACTCTATGGGGGTGGAGGAAGATGAAAAGGGAGGTGTGCAAAAGGGAGGCGTACAAATGCTCGGTCTTTGTGTTAGCTGGCCCCCCACCACCAGCGGCCCCAACCCTGCACCCTAAACTACTGGGGCAAGGGGCAACATGCAATCCCTTCACTGCAAGGTAGCTATGCTTGCAGGGCCCCCCCTCTATAGCCTTAAGAGTAGTGGTAAGTAGGTAGTGAAAGGTGAAGGAGAAGAGAGCAAGAAGAGAGATATCATCGCCTTTTTTCTTTTTTTATCATTTCATGGCTGTACCAAGTCTGCCACGCCACGCCATCCCCCCCCAAAAAAAAATCCCYCCCCCCCCCCCAAAAAAAAAGGTTTGCCACGCCCGTGGGTTTTTAATTAATGGGCCCGCATGCGCCGATGAGGTATCAGATGGCAAACACTGGTTTGTGCTCCAGACCAAATCTGAACACCCACGGGTAGGATTTGGGCCTTGCCGCGCGGCGCCTGACCTTTTTTTCCCTCGGCGTTGGCGGTCACACCACAGGGGCTACGAGCGCGCGCCCTCGCGGTATGTCAGTGCCCCCGCCCTTACAAATTCTGCAAAAGCGAGGACGACATTCTTCAACAGTCGTGAATTAGGGTGAGAGGTTGGGCGTAGGGCGGTCACCCCTGTGGGCGGCAGCGGGTTAGTAGCTTCAAGTACTGAACGCGCATCGGTCGGGTCCTCTTTGGTCGGCAAAGGCGCAAGCAAAATGAAGGTGAGCGCACGCTGTCACCATCTCCTCAACTTCATGTCCGTTTCTCCTCCACGAACGCCTATTGTCTCCGTCGTCCACAGGACTTCATCGGCTTTGTCCCCTTCCGCGTCTGTTTGCTTCCCTTTTTCTCCGGCAATCTTGTTGCTTCATAGCGATGTCTCCTTTTCCATTCGACTCTCTGCACCCTGCTATACAATGAAGGAGAGGTGGGATTTAGTGACTCAGGATTTATGTTGTATTGATGCGAAATTGATGCGTGGTTTGTTGTTGACATTGAAGTACTAGGTATAGTTGGGCATTTTGGTTAAGAAGAGTGATGCTAATGTTTAGGGCTTTGTTCCTTGTGTTTGCCTGTGGATCTGTGCTGTGATGCGTCTGTGATGGGGGTTGTTCACTTGTGTATTTGCCGCCATTGGCCGCCACGCAGCTCAACATTGCCAACCCCACCACTGGGTGCCAGAAGAAGGTGGAAATCGATGACGACCAGAAACTGTGAGTGATCTGAAAACTGATGTTCCCTAATTTCTGAGCACACACACCCATCAATAAAGATTAAAGAAGAAGAAGAAGGCGGTGATGAAGAAGAGAATAATAAACTGACGCGTTTTTCGTGTCATTTTTTGTCCCGCTTCATCTTCTTCTCTTGATTCTTCTTCTTCTCATTGGCTTGGTCGGAAAGTCTGGTGGTGCCGCAAAGCGGATCTGGGGAGAAGCCCCCTGAGGAGTGCCAGGAGCGCAGCCTGGCCGAAACGCGTCGGGGAGATTGCGTGTTTTTTCTGAGAGTTGTACATCGAGAAAAAATGTAAGCCTGTTGATGCGTGTACGAGAAGCCGTCTATGGCCACTGTTTTCACTATTCTTCTTCTCTAGGTCTTGCGTAACGTGGTCTACAGCATAGGAGGACAAGGCCGTTTTGCACGCGTCATTTCCCCCCCTTTCCATCGTCTTCTTCTTCTTCTTTTTTCTTCTTCTTGACAAGTAGGAGGGTGCCGTAAGTCGGATCCGAGGAGAAGGCCCGTGATGAGTGCCAGGTGCGCTTCCTGGCTGAAACGTGCGTAGGGCAATGAGCGCGTTTCTTCTGAGCTCAGTGCGTGCGGTTGAGCATGGAAATTTCTGTTGAAGCATGCACGAAAGACGGTCTATGGCCTCTGTTTATCACTATTCTTCTTCTTCTCGAGGTCCACTAACGTGGGATTCTGTAGAAGAGGTGGGCAAGGCTGTATGGGGCCTGCATGTTTGGTGGAAGGATAGTCGGTGGACGTAAGGCGTGGTTGTGTCTGAAGGCGCCTCGGGATGATCGGACCGTAGCCGATTGAAATGTGCGTCGTCGGGGAATATGCGCGTGAGATGAGACATGTATGCGCGGCTATGTATTGAAAACCTTTTGAAGCGTGTACGAAAGGCTTGCCCCTGTATCTTATTATTGACTATAGGCGTTTTCTTCGCCTTTCGACGGTTATCGGTCGGGTGAGTAGAATGGAGTTGGTTTGGGAGGCGACTAAGAAAAGATGACGAAAAGAAAATGAGAAATAGACGCGTTCTTACGCGTCAATTGTTTCCCCCCTCTTCTTCTTGGGTGTTGTCGTGTTTTTCTTGGTTTTGACTTTCTCCGATTATCAGTCACGGGAGTATCGCTACCGTATGTGGAGTTGTTTGTTTGGAAGACGACTTAAAGAGTTAGGGTTTTGGACTCGTGACGTGTATGATGTGTATATGTAGGTGTTGATCAGAAATTGCGAGTGCTCCGAAAATTGTAGTCTCCCAATTCCTGTGCCATAATATGGGTCCTAATTATGGGTCTTAACTTTCTACGATTTTCCATCGCTGTGGTAGAGTCAGATTTGTGGAGTCGTTTGTGGGGGGCGGGCGGCTAAACGAGGTAGGGTTTCCTACTCTTCTTGACGTGTATATTTTCGTGTAAATGCGATCAGACGTGGAAGTCGCTGCTGTTTAAAAATTGGACGTGGCCCTAAATACGTTGATAATTGCTGTGCTTTCTCTTCGCCTACAGATGGTAAAATCTCTCAGTTAGCCGATATTCCCGTCTATCGGATTGGAGGATTCCTCTCGCGTATTGCAATCATGTTTGGAACGTTTTTCTCTACTTTTTAACCCACTGAACTGAAAGACGTGCCTGAACAGCTGATATTTTTGGCCGTTTGAGGGCCCCGTTTTGTTGTGTAATGCACCAGTTCTGGCCATTCAAGGGCGCCCATTTCTGGCCGTTTCCGAGGGGCACAACTGCACTTGTTGCGCTAAAATACCGTAGAATGGGTTTTCCGTACACGCGATCATTATTGTCCTCGGTACTTAATCGAGTTAGTAATACGAATATTCTAGGGAGTAGTACCGGAATATTCTCAATGAAACTGATATAATGTGTGATGTGCCTATTGAATCCTTTTGATGACTACGATCAATTCTGTTCTACCCATTGATGCCGGCAGTCGGCAAAGGAATCAGTAAGCACAGATCACATTATAATACCAGTTTTGATGGGTCGGACTTGTGTGACTGATGAGGAGGCAGTCGCCCATTCGCAGTCGTACCTATCTATGCACGGCATTCTGTTGTTGGAGTTTGTGGGCTGGCAGGTGTCTAATGAGCAGTCTCCCGTAATAAACAGTGCCTTACCTATCTATGAGAAAAGGCGATGCCTGTTGTTGGAGTTCAGATGGGTCGGACTTGTGTCTATTGAGTCATCGTCCTTAGACAGTAACCTATCTTTCCTCGGAAATGGCTGTTGCTGTTTAGATGGGTTGGACTGGCACTTGCTGAGTCCCTCGTACAGTTTTTAAATTCGATCTGATGGCAGTTCGAAATCCGTCAGACCACCAGAGGGCCTATACCTTCTTCCCCCGAATACAACGTACGCCCACTGAATCATCGAAATACGGTCGGAGTTCAAATCCAGATGCAATCAGATGAATAGAATGTGCAGAGTGCATTCTAAAAATCTGAGTTTTCTGGTGCTGGTCCATTCAATGATGATACCTCAAATGACCGTCGCACTTTGATCCCCCAAAACAATCCGTCAGACCGATGCAAGGCTTGGGGGCTATACTACAAAAGGCCGATATTATTTCATTATCTCCCCCTTCTTGGCTATGGATGGCGTACACGCATCTGTTCACGGCAAGACCTTTAGTAGTTGTGATGGGTCGGACTGGTGTCTATTCCAAGGAGTTTCCCATAGACCCCTTGAGCTCTTGTTCAACGTCGTCCGGGGCATTCCGTTCTCGTGTGTGTGGGGCCAACCCTTCGGCGAGCCAAGGTGTCTTTTCCAGCTGTACTCTGCTCTTTGTTGTTGTTAACATCGACGACCTATTCGAAAGGTGGAACTTGTATCGGAACCCATCTCCCACTTCTTGCCTATGGACGACGTACACCTATCTGTTTACGCTTAGGCCTTTTGCAGCGCTAATGGTTTGGAAGTGGTGTCTATCAAGGCGTCTCCCATGCATAGATTGTGTATAGGCAGGCTATGTTCTTCCTGGCGCTGTGCCCCCTACCCCCGCCGGCTGTTATTGTGCTTGGGTGGGTCTTTGACCCCTCTTT